TTGGAGGCTATAAGCCAACAAATCTTTTAAAACCCAACTTTTTTATGGAGAATAAAAATCAACATAATGTTATGATTTAAAACATTGTTTTATTTTTTATTTTTTCTGATTTTACTTTGTTTAATAATTTTATATATTCTTGAAAGGATTTTAGAGAAAAATTGATAGAGTTCAAAAGATCTAAATGATGAAAAGTTATACGAGTTTAAGTTATTCTAGTGTTTTTAATGAAAGTTTTTCAAGTACTTCGTGTTCAATTGAGCAAATTTCAAAAAAATTTTCATTTAAGAATAAAATTTTTAATTGTCTAATCATTCTTCATTATTTTATAGGAATTTTTAGAAGTAATTAGTATAATCCACTGCATACTAAATATTTCCTTAAAGCCTATATTAATTTGCAATATATGAGATTGTTGCGTCCTGGAGTATTTGCGGCGGTAGAGAAATATATAGTTTAACATCTTAACATTGTACAAAGATCCAGCACAAAATCAGATAAGTGAGAGGGTGTAGCGTTCATAAGAGACACCTGAGTTTTTACGTGGAAACCCCTGAAAAGGGGGAAAAACCACGGGGCCTAGCCCAATTTGAATGAATTCACTAGTATTTACAGTCGATTACAAATGAGGCCCTTCCTTGGGAGAAGGCCTTGGCTTGATGTCACAAATGTACATCATATAAAGTGCATTACATGGTAGGAGTTACAATAGATATGTTTGTTTGGTTGGCATGACCATAGTCGATAGGATGGAGGTCAGAAAGACTGTTGTATGGTGATGGAGGTCGGAAGGATCGTAGTCGGCAGAAGACAAAGGTCCTAAAGACCGTAGTTGACAGGAGACCGGGATCAGAAAGATCGTTGTCTGTTGATGGAGGTCAAAAGGACCAAAGTAGGCGACGGAGGTCAGAAGGACCGTAGTCGGCAGAAAATCGGGGTCAGAAAGACCGTTGTCTGGTGATGGAGGTCGGAAGGATCATAGTAGGCAACGTAGGTCGGTAGGACCGTAGTCGGCATGAGATCGATGTCAAAAAGATCATTTTCTGTTGATGGAGGTCGGAAGGACCATAGTAGGCGACGAAGGTCAGAAGGACTGCAGCCAGTAGGAGACCGAGGTAAGAAAGACTGTTGTAGTAGGGCGGTACTCTGGTAGAACTCTGGGTGTCAGGTGGTGGCCCAGCAGAAGTCTGGGCCTCATGTGGTGTTCTGGTGGAGCACAAGGCCTCAAGTGGTGGTTCGGCGGAAGTCCAAGCCTTAGATTGTGGCCTAGTGAAGCATAGGGCCTCAAGCGGTGGTCCGGTGGAAGTCCGAGCCTCATGTGTTTGTCCGGTGGAGCCACAATATTAGGTGGTGGTCCGACGGAGGTGAGGGCCTCCAGTGGAGGTCCGACGTAGGTTAGAGTCTCAAGTGGTTGTCCGGTAGAGGTGAGGGACTCAAGTGGTGGTCCGGCGGAGCAACGACATCAGGCGGTGGTCCGGTGGAGGTGAGGGCCTCAAGTAGTGGTCTGGCGGAGGTGAGGACTTCAAGTGGTGGTCCAGCGGAGCAATGACATCAGGCGGTGGTCCGGCGGAGGTGAGGGCCTCAAGTGGTGGACCGACAGAGGTGAGGGTCTCAAACGGTGGTCCGGCGGAGCAACGGCGTCAGGCGGTGGTCTGACGGAGGTGAGGGCCTCATGTGGTGGTTCTGTAGAGGTGAGGGCCTCAAGTGGTGGTCTGACGGAGCAACGACGTCAGGCGGAGGTGAGGGCCTCAAGTAGTGGTCCGGCGGAGGTGAGGGCCTCAAGTGGTGGTTCAGCGGAGCAACGGCATCAAGCGGTGGTCCGATGGAGCAACGGTATCAGGTGGTGGTCCGACAGAGGTGAGGGCCTCAAGTGGTGGCCTAACGGAGGTGAGGGCCTCAAGTGGTGGTCCGGTAAAGCAACGGGAGCAACGTCGTCAAGCGGTGGTCCGGCGGAGGTGAGGGCCTCAAGTGGTGGTTCGACGAATGTCCAACGGTGGTCCGGCGAAGGTCCGACGGTGGTCGAGGAGGAGCTTCTTCCTTCTCTTCTTCTTTTCTTGCTTGGATCCCCTTTCAAGAGAAATGAGGTGTCTATTTATAGATTTTCTGGAGTGGCATAGCCCGTAAATAGGTAAGAGATCAAGGGTAAATGGGGAGTGGTTGGATGGACGGCCGATATTGAATCCCTTGATCATGCACCGTTCGTCAGACATTTGGAGGTCTTAATGATTTTGGAATTTGGCGATCTTGAGCTCGTTGGATTTGTCTCGTCAAATCCCTCAATTCGATTATAAGCTCGTCATGTTTGGAAACCGTTTGGTAACTCAAACTATGGCACGAAGCTTCCAACAATGCTTCGGGTCCTTAATTTGGACTCATTTGGGCTCGGATTGAGTCGAATTTGGAGTCGTTGGGTTTGTATTTCTGAGACGCTCAGTTGGACTGTAAGTTTGCTGAAATCGGAGTTCAGATGATCCCAGATTTAATTTTTGAAGTTTCTGGCTTGATTTTGCATCGAGATTCGTGCTTGTTCAAGATAATTTTTGGAGGACGTATCAGAGATAATTATCTTTATTTAATTTATAAATTTTTATTAACTATACTCCTTATCATTTTCTTAATCGCTAACGTCGGCTTCAAGCCCGACCAAAAAAATTTGAGTATATTCTAAAGATCTATAATTTATGCCCTACAAAAAAAAAAAAATGATGGCTTCGCCACTGTGTTATAGAGACAATGATTTTGAACATTTAGATTTTTTTTTTTTAATTTGCACTAGGGCTTTTGAAAATCATGCTGTTTTAATTGATTGAAAAATACTCTGAATTCTAAAAAAAAAATATTATTGTACAATTGAAGTCTTTGAAAAGTGTTCTAAATAATCTCTACTAATATAGTTATATTTTGAAATAGTTGATTTTTGCACAATAGTGTATTATGTTGCTTACCGTTAACGCATTTTGGTAATTTTTTAAATGAGTTTATTTATATTTCTGTTATTGCACTGCAATAGATTATGTGTTTATTTAATTAAATTGTATGCTTTTGTGGAGTTTTGGGGTGAATGCAGGAAGCTCTGTTATGACGCTAAATGCATATTCTGATGCCAATTGCACATTATGCTATTATATGCACATTCAGTTCTCAGAATTCTTTGAATTATATCTACTGAGAATTATAAGGGTCATAATTCTACGAATTATGTCTAATTGGAGGCATAAGGGTCAAAATTCTTTAAATTCTATGTGAGATGAAGTACTTGTTTATTTACTTTTTTAATACTATTATTTGAATTCCTAATAACTATAATTATTGTTATGTCCATCACAATGATTTATTATATTATTTTTAACACTCATTTAAATGCTTCATAACATATTCATTTAAAAATTTAGATTGATAAATGTAGTATATTGAGCTATGTTAGCTCACAGTTATTTCACCTTCTGCATTCAAAATATGAGAGGGGGAAAGGCCAGTTGAGTAGTAGGACCAAGATCTAATTTGAGTATGTAGAGATATTTCTTTCTTTTTTATTTTTGTATAATCATGACTAGTTAATTATATTGTTATGTTATGTAGTCTAATTTGTAGCCATGTACTATCATGGTATATTCATTTTGACGATAAATGAAAAGAAAATTTTTACGGATGAGTTTATTTTTAGAATGTTGTTAGTAGCTCTATGATTATTGTTGTTTTAAAGTTAAAATTGGATGAAATTTTTGAAAGATTTCCAAAACTTTTAACACCATAGGATCTATCATCTATCCATATTTTTAGTCTTATCCGGTTGGGTTGTGACACTTTCTACGTCAAACTTAGCTTATAAATGATATTTTATTTAACACATTGTCACCACTGATGAAAATGTTGGCTCCCTGCTCTCATTTATAGAAAAATCTTAAGCTAACTGCTGATGAAGTTAAACTTTTTTTATATTACAAATTATCAAATTGCAATAAAATTTCTCAGTTTAGATCTTTGCTGCAATGGTAAATCGTTATATGATATGTTTGAATTATCCTCTATTCCCACAAACCTGGATAGTTCTATATATTCCTCTATTTGAAATTTGGACTCCTCTACTTCTTAAAAAAACTTTCCTTAGCAAGGCTGCTGAATGGAGGAAATATCAAGAAGACATAGAACTGTTGCAACACGGATGGTAATAAAGGGAGAAATTTGGACTACGATGAGTGTGCTTTTCACCTATCAATGCCTTCGAACTTTTGCTTCCTTTTGAAAGGAGAAAATTATTCTGTGCGGATTCTGGACCGGAAGTACTGCTCGAATTATTGTGTATTTACTTAGAATTTATTCAATAAATACACAGTAAATCAGCAAATATTAAGCAAATCTCACAAAATATTTAGCGAATACTAACAAAATACTCCACAAATGCTCACAAAATACTCAGCTAATCTGAAGGTTTATTGCCATCCGTACTACGCACAGAATAATTTCCTCCCTAGAAGACGGTTGGCAACTAGGGATGTATTTGCTTCACATGAAGCTTTCTATATGATACCGGGTACAAGTTTTTTAGAGAAATTATTATGTGAGGAGTTCGGACATATCCGAATTCTAATACGTACAAGTCATATGATTTGTCAGCAAAGTTGTATATTGTGTGTACAAGTCATATGATTTATATATATATTGATGTCCGAATGCAAGCTACGTCCAAATTCTGCACGTAATATTTCTCCAAATTTTAACTATTCTAAATCTAGAATGTTAGAATTTTACTTTTTTTTTTTATTGAAAACTTATTTTATTTCTAATTCAGTTTTCTGAACATTGTTAGTTTTTAAATTTTAATGCAGCTCATATGTTACTTTTGAGCTGCATTTTTTGCCTTATAATTATATTTTACAGTTAGTAGGAAGATCTGCGCTCAATTTCAAAAAAAAAAAAAACGAAATGTTGCCACATCGATGGAACAAGCATGACACGTGCGCCGCGTACACCGTAGTATCGGCAGTTAACAGCATTTCAACGATTCTCTCTGTCTTTCTCTTTCTCTCTTCTTCCTTTTTCTATCTAACACGGAATGTAGCAGAAGCACACCCATCTCCATGGGGCGAGAAGAGGACACCATGGAAGATCACTGCCTCCCGAAATCGTCGATGGCCGGGGGTGGCCTGATCGTCGGAAACTACTGCCATGATGTCCTCTTCCGCGACGGCGTCGTCGTTGGCGAAGGTCTCGGCGGCGCTGCCTCCTTTCTCTCTAACGTTCTCGATCCCCTCTCCTCAAACCCCTCTCTCTACATATCTAAGGTCGGTCCCGACTTCAGCTACTCAGTATCGCACGCCCCCATAACTTCCACCACTTCTCAAACCACCCTCTTCCACGCCCACTTTCCTTCCACCCCCGGCGGAGGCTACCACGGCGACCGCGTACTCCACTGTATCCGCACCTGCGAACCGATCCTCCCTTCAGATATCCCCTCCTATAAATTTGAATTCGGACTCGCTGCTGGAGTTGCCGGGGAGATTCTCCCGGAAACCCTAGCCCGCATGCTCGATCTGTGCCGCGTCATGTTCGTGGATGTGCAGGGGCTAATTCGGATTTTTGATTCCGAAGACGGTGCCGTGGGGCTCATTCCGCTGAGGAGCACCGCTTTTTTCGAGCTTATTCCTCGAATCGGATTTCTTAAGGCTTCGGCAGAGGAAGCACCGTTCTTGGATTTAGAGGAATTGAGGAAGGTTTGCTGCGTGATAGTGACGGAGGGGAAGAATGGGTGCAGCGTGTATTGGAATGATGGGGAGGTGAATGTTGCACCATTTCCAGCTGTTCAGATTGATCCGACTGGCGCTGGAGATAGTTTTTTGGGTGGGTTTGTGGTGGGATTGAGCTGGGGTTTGGCCGTGCCGGATGCTGCACTTCTAGGGAATTTCTTTGGCGCGTTAACTGTAGGCCAGATTGGAATTCCCAAGTTCGAGCTGAGCTTGCTAAAGGTTAGTTCTTATAAGTTCTATTCTTTAACAGTCTTGATTTGTAATAGTTTATCTTAACCAATGTTTTTGTTTATGTTTTCTGAGTTGAAGATTTTTTTTTGTTTCGCCTTTAGATCATGATTTCGATAAAATTTCTGTCGGCGCTGAAGCATTCATGATGCTTTTTTTCCATTGACCATGCGACCGCTTGTTTCATAGGCCAACTGATTTGGTTTAGGAACGAAGTGGGCTCCACTAGTCATTGTAAATGCTTCATATAATCATATTATATGAGAGAAAATGTGTGGCTGGATATACTGATATAATTTATATCAAATTTAGAATACATTATATTTGAAATTAGATTAATACAAACTCTTTATATACATTATTAATATTAAAGCAAATTTAATGATTTTCAAATCATACAAATTATATCAAGATATTTTTACACAATTTAATGATTTATTTATAGATTTTAGAGGAACATAATTCTCATTTTTTGTATGATAATCTTTAAGGATATATAAATGTTGTCCAACTCCATTATTTATTCTCTTCTAAAGCTGTTGAGCTTGGTGAACTTGTTTTGCCATTTGCAGAATCTATGGCATGTATTTATGAACGATCTTGCCTCATTCATGCATTTTAATTTTCTCTATTTTGTATTAATCTCTTGTGCATATTCCTCATCATAAAGTTAATTTAAAATTGACTTTGAAAGCAATCTCAATCCTCTAGGTTAGGGGTGCAAACGAGTTGAGTCGAGCTCTCATCATGCTTAACTTAAGCTTGACTCGCTAGCTAAATCTCAAGCTCGAACTCGAGTCAAGCTCAAAAGGTTAGCTTGAGCTCGGCTTGTAGCACTGAAAATGAGCCCGCGGGCAACTCGTGAGTTCATGCCCTCACTCGATACCACCGGAGAGGAAGAACACATGCCGCCAGAGAAAAAGAATGCGTGCCATGGCAGCTTGTCTCGAGCTCGCAATTTGGCAGATCCTACGTGAGAAGATCAAAAGAGGAGGATATTTTTTATTAATTTTTTAGAACTATTTTGAAAATTGTTACAGCTCTATTAATGTAGAGCTTTCCAAAAAAAAAATGTAGAGCAGCTATTTTTCACGGGAATATAAAATATTTTCAAATCATGGTAGTTTTTTTGGGAATAACTTACAATTTTATTCATTACTAACATATTTTATTAGATGAAACAATTTTTTTGCTGATTTGTCTAAGAAAAAAAAATAAATTGTCATAAAATTACAAGCCAGCTTATGAGCTCGCGAGCCAAGCCTGATTAAGCGCAAACTCGAGCTTGTTTAATAGACAACCTCAAGTTTCAGCTCGAGCTTGAGCTCTCGATTCGATAAACTTGGTTTGCGAGCTCGTTATCGAGTCGAGCTCGAGCCGGCTCATTTACACTCCTAATCTAGGTGTCATTCCTGAAAGGACCAGCAACTCATATCAACAATCAAGTTGTCATGCTCATATGCCAAGCAATTTTCACTCGAGGAATCTCTTGGCATTGTGTAGTTCTACTCAGGAAATTTCACAATCCATATCAGTGCATTCTCCTCATTGTATTCCTCTTGAGAAGACCAAGTCCTCCCATGGATTGGTTTCCCTATTGTCCATAGCCTTCCTCTCATACTATCAGAATGCTTATCCAGTTTCTCAGCTTGATTATTATCTACTTGGAATCGCAACCAATCTACTCAACATCGCACATAATAGCCTGTAACTCTAAAATTAACTCAAAAACCTCAACCATGTTGTCCATTGGTCATTATTGCATTCAAACACCAAATATCTCTTTTTTTAAGCGTTTATTTTAACAAATATTCGTCATGGTACATCATCCCAACATGTAGCACATCTCACATGCATTAAACATTACTTATTGGCCGTTTACATGCATCTGCACCCTCTATGCAAAACCTAGCATCTTAGAATTCTCTCGACGACGTGTTTTCTCAACTATGTGGGTCCATTAGGCAACTACATGTGGACTTCTTTAGCTTCGTAAAGTGCTCCTACTTCCTCAATCTCTTCAACTTCTTCTATTTTAAAGATCCAAGGAGTTCTTGCTATTTTTGAAGATTCATAAGATTAAGACTACTTGTTCCAGTTGTTCCATTGCAAGCCCCAAGCTATTATAGAGTTTCCTACTTCTATTACACTCTCTCAAGGTAGCCTTTGTAATATTGCAATCAACTATTTTAGTTCATTCCGAGGGAGCTAGCCTCAAAACAGATGTATAAATTCTCACCAAATCACTATAAACTTCATGTTTTTTTTGTTATTTGTGTTATTTTCTTCATGATGTCTACTTTGTCGTCATATCTAAATCCCAGTAACTCATGTCGAAAATTTCACTCATAAATTATAATCTCTTAGAGATGTTTGTTTGTTGGACACTACTAGGCTATGTAGGTAGTATAAATTCACTGTTTTCTTTTTTATTTCACTCATTTACTCATTGTTTGTGCTAAAAACCAAAATTATTCTCGCCTAATCTTCCTGTTTTGATAAATTCTATTTTTTCATGATTTTCTGTAGGCTGCAGATGCAATAGGAGGTTTTTTAACTTCTCTCTAAATTTTAGCTTCCTTTTGTTGGTAGATTAGCTTTACTGATAAGATTGTCATCATTCATAGAATATTGTTTTGGTGTTTTTTTGCATTTTTTTCTTGTTTGTTGTCTAAAAGTTCAATGCCATATAAATTAGCTCTTTTTGTTAGGTGTCCACATGAGAGTTTTGTGGAATACACAAATTTTTTTAATGCTTCTAATCGAATGTGTACTTCTAAGATATGCCATGTTCCTATAGAACTACAATAGTAATAACCAAGTAAAATGACAATTGAATTTCTATCTTCATGGAAAAATAGAGCGCAGAGTATGGGCATTTTTTTGCTTGACATCTACGTCCATTAGAAAATTGTGCTTGTACAAATATCCATAGCAAGTAAAAACTTGAAAATTTGTGAAGTTAAAATGACACATTTCAGTATGAGTAAAGTTCTAAATTGAAACTTGTTGAGTGAGAGAAATTGATGAGAGACACAGAGGGAGAGAGTGATGCAAAAATTTCTCCAAGGAAATCTTTAGTGAAAAAAGGGGTTTAGCTCAATTTAAACAACTTTCACTAATATTAAAAGAGATTATTACATACTGCCCTTTTCCATAATTGGATAAGATGGTAATAAAAAGTAAAGAAAAGCAAGTGATTGTTGGTGTAATGGTGTACTAGTGAAGACCTTTCAAGAAGGTTTATGGGGCACCTAAGGTTGACCACAACACAGCTTTCCTAGAGATCGAAGCAATATAAGCTCAATGCAATGGAGGATATAATTCAAGTCGTGATGTGCTAAAGGTGGTTTGCAAATGCTCCTAATGGAGTAATTTGATGCATATTTATATATTTTGAGAAGGATGTTTTGTTAATTTTTGAGGTATATGCCAAAATATTTCTTTTAAACTATTTATATTCAAGCTGCCTTTAGTTTACTTCTTTTATGTTCTACTTCTATTTTTTTATTCTATACAAATTTTCATTTTATAGGTGCATTTATACCATTTTATATCTCCAAACCACCAAAATCTAATTTCCATTTTCACATCTTTAACTTCATTGTCCTTCTAATTTAATCAGTCATCATTATATTATTTCTATTTGTGTCACGTCCATCATAACAATGCATGCTTAGGCACGTAATTAATAAAAAACTTGTTTTTGATTTGTTATAACACTCATGTTGAAGCATGGTGCTAAAACATGTGCAAGTCTCTTATATATGTTGAAATTCATTGACACATGTAGTTTTGCATTTGATATTTTGAAAATTAGACCAATGCATGGAATATATTTACATGTCTGGTAAGGGATATGATAAAAATTCACACAAAGGAATGTGGCATGCCTATGGATCAAATCACTACCAACCTCATTATTTATCTTTGGTCTATCTAAAAAAAGTATAAACCAACCATTTAAGGCTTATTTGAATACTATGTTCATGCATGACTCTCCCAACCACATGGTTCAGGTTGATAACGAAGCATTGATTTAGGCTCTTGTTGGTAAAATCTTTTTAGAGGCACACAAGGCTTGCATTAGAAATTATGCCAAGGCATGAAAACCCTGAAGGCTATAACTTCAATTATGTCAAATCAAGCCAAAAATCAATCCCACAATTGCTATTTAAATTCTTTTCCATTTTCACCTTTACTTGAGGGAGTAGGCTTATGTGATCCCAAGGGGCACTTTTGTCATTAGATGTATCATTGTATTTTGGTTATTTATAAGCCTCTCCTCCTCTTTGAAGAGGATGATGATTATTATGATGAAAATTTTTTGCTCTTTGTTTCTTGGAGAGTTGTGAGAGCTCTTGCGAGAGTTTGAAGTCCTTGGTGAGGGTAAAACAGCACCCATCAACTGCAGGAAGCGTCCGGGCCCGTGGTTTTCTCCACCTCCAATTCGTCTTGTTATTTTCCCCTAGCCGCCGGCCCAATCCTTTCCCTTGCCATCGGCCCCTCCACCACCTATCCCTAGGCTGACTACCACCCTAAGCCGCCACCCCCTCCCTCCCCTAAACCGCCGGCCAATCATCCCTCCCCTTGGCTGATTCTCCACCGACCCCCTTTCCTCTCTTAGCTGTCGGCCACCTATCCCTCCCCTTGCCTCCAAATGTTCAAATCAAGTATTCAATACTTTCCCTACTTAGTGCATAGTAAATTTGGATAGTCTTAAATTCAAATTTTAATTCACTTAAAATCTGAAAAAAATTTCTAAAAAAAGATGGGTTATATTAGAAAAGTTTTCCTATTCATACGTATTTGAATTTTTAATGGAGATTTGCCCTAAATCCCCTTTCCTAAATTAGCATCCTAAAATTGACAACTCCTTAATTCCTCTAATTAATCCCACCTCCCCCTAGCCATTGCCACCCCTCTGCCCCTCTCCCCCATTATGATCCTTCCAATTTAAGTTTCCCAAATAAGCCCCCATTAAGGCTTTCCAACCCCCTTCCCTTGTCTCCTTATTTGAAGGTCATTTAAATTCAAATCTCCCCCAATTGCTCCTCCACTTAAAGCATCCATTAATTCCTACTTCAATCCCACTTAATTCTTGTCCTAATTGGCATGCCACCTAGACAATAATTCAATTCCAGGATTTTAATAATTGCTGAAATTAAAATTCATAATTTTCTATTTTCTGCCTTTCCTTATTCGTCACCCAAATAAGGAATTAAAAGGGTGCTCTAGGCCGGCCATAACCTCCTCCCCCTTCTCTACACTCGGGCTCTTCGCTTAATGTTTTCACCTAAGAAGGAGAAGTGAATCCACCTCCCTTGGCTGGTCACATTCAAATCCTTTGAACACTTTAATCCCTTGTTGACTACAAGGAGTGTTTGCTTCAAAGCGAACCCACAGACGATCATCGCCCTGAACCTGAAGAACGTTGGAGCAAAGTTCAGAAGCTTGAATAAGGTAAACCCTCCTCCGAACCTTTTTATCTTCTAACTCCTTCTCGATTGTGGCATCATTGAAATTATGAAAAAGCTTCTTTGCCAAGCCTTCTAATATGAGAATGTGTAAGGGATCTTAATAGTGACTATTCTAATTGTTAATCGAGAAATTTCCTTTGAAAACCCCACGTTAAGCAAAGCTTGATTTGATTTGATTATTTTGTTCTCCTAATATTGTCTTATAATCAATTGCCTAAGCTTAATCATTGCTTTATTGTTTTCAATCTTTTGTTTAAGTCATAGGAAGTTGAATAATTGATATTGCTCATTCTTAAGCGTGTAATTTCAAAGTTAATAGCATCACATGTTCATGAAGTTCTACATCAGAAAGGACCCATGGTTAAATAATAAGAAAATCTGTTGTCATAATCAAGGTTCATTACAAACAAAGGTTGGTAAACACCTTAATACACAATGATGGAATCATGTGATCTTGACATAATTTGTTTGTCAAATCCTTCATTGAGTTACATGCACCATGCAATCATTGTTGTGGTTAAATTATTTTTGCTAAGTAGGCCTTCATCATGGACATCATAAGTGGTTTTAGGTTTAATTTTATTGAAGTTTTGAATTTATGTTAAATTATCATTTTGGATAATTAATAGGATTGTTTTGATGGGTTGATATTTGAATTTGAATTAGGATTTAATCTTATATTGTTATAATTATAAAACTCAACTCGTTGCTATCCTTTTATTACATTAATTACTACAGTTTGCTTTTTGTTTTGGATGTTTAATAATCATTTCTTTCATCCTCTCTCGAGTCTCGATGCAGGCTGTGAGGCAAGAACTGGAGAGAAGGGGAAACCAATATTCAGGACAGTGTCAGAGAAAATTGTCTGTAAGTTATCAGAAATCAGTTTCTCATAAAGATTTCCAAGAATTCCTATTTAGAACTGCTGAGTTATATGGAAGTAGCGATGGAAAAAGAGATAGTAAACATATAGGAGACAATGGCTTGTGTGAGGTACATGAAGGACATAGCAAAATACTTTAAAACGAAATTTTTATCACAGTTTTGATTGCCAAATTGACCACTATTATGGATGTAGCTGGCTTGCTCTTCAAATTCGAATAAATATTCCTTGAAATTCTGTCATACAAGAATCCTTGAACTATAATAGAGCTAAGTTCATTAGAGTAGTTTGTACTCCTTCACTGTAATAGCTCTATCTCTACATCCTCAATGTAAGACAATTAATTGCTATAACAATTTTCTTGTATTTTTGCTAATGTGATTACCACTGCTTCTATTTCTCTTGTTCAACATGAAGTTTTGCAGTAATGTAGTTCTTTCACAGTATGTTTCAAGCAGAAATTCAATAATCTTACTGTTTTGCCCTTTTGCGAGATATATTTGTTTCCAATTTCGGTCTTAGTATTATTTGCTTGATGTAAGTTGAAAAGTTGACATTTCTTTTTTGAGAAATTTGGGATCCTCTATTAAGGTTATGTTTGAGACGGCTTTTTTATTGCTTTTCAAAATAAAATTTTAGTACAAAATTTTTAATTTTTATATTAAAACTCCGTTTTAAGAAGCAATAAAAAGTCGTCCCATATGAAGCCTAAGTCTGTGATCATCCCAAATTTCTCAACAAATTACTTCATTGAGCTATTTTCAGAAGATAATATCTATCTAAGGTCATCCACCAGTACACCGAGCACTGCGAATTCTAACTATGAGATATTCAGTCCATTCAGATCGGCCTTTTTTGTTCTGTATGTAAATATCTTTGGTAGCTAATTTTTTTCCTGGTAGTATGACTGAGATTTTAGCTTTAAGAGGAGATTACTCAAATATTGAATAGATTATTTGTTTTGATCGAGCTGAATGAGTGTAAGCTTGAGCCAAGTTTTTTGACTCAATCTGATCTTCGAGCTAATTTGGAACAATCTTAAAATAGGCCTATCAAATAAGAATTAATCAGGATTATCACGTGTGAAATGATTGACAAACTTAGATTTTATTTGAGATAGTTTTATTACTATTTTTTAAAACAGTTTTTTAATACAAAAATTTTTAGCTGAAAAAATTTTGTATTAAAAAATTGCTTTAAAAAATAATAATAAAGTTGTCCCAAATCAAGTCTTAGACAACCATGATTATTCGATTTATTGCCCCAAGAATTGCATTCATGATTACTTTTGTTCATACAAATCTCCAAGTTGGGAAGGCTGTCAAAATGGAGAGATTATTCTGTGCGGACGTCAGACGCAGCTATACGACCGGAAGCGAATTAGGTGTAGCCATATCAGCGGTATCGAGCACGATATTGAGCCGCAGTACTAAGCAGTATCAAGCCGCAGTATCGAGCAGGTGTGGCACATTTTGGTTCATCTCTGAACTGCGTTCTACGTCCGCACAAAATAATTTTTCGTCTAAATGTCGCCTCTCTCTTAATACTAGTGAGAAATGTTTAGGTTTAGTGAGAAATGTTTATTGCTCTGCTCATAATCTCATAAATTAAAACGAAAATTATCATGGTGATTTTAAATTTATATTCATCTCTGAACCGTGTTCTACGTCCACACAAAATAATTTTTCGTCTAAATGTCGCCTCTCTCTTAATACTAGTGAGAAATGTTTAGGTTTAGTGAGAAATGTTTATTGCTCTGCTCATAATCTCATAAATTAAAACGAAAATTATCATGGTGATTTTAAATTTATAAATTTTCTCAAAAATTTTTGAGATGTAATGATTCCATTTTCATTGAAATTAGGTAAAAAAAAAAAAGCATCACTTTTATTTATAAAAAAATAAATGAGCTTTAATACATGAAGTAATTCTCTATTTTTACGGTTATGATTTTAGTCAAGCTTTTTTTATGTTTAAGCGTGAATAAGATGAAACTTTTTTTTTACAATAATTTTACAACAATTTTTATAAAAAAAATATAGCCGTTAGAAAACTTAAAATTCAGATCTCTCGAAACTCACTTCTAAAACAACCAAAAACAAGAAATATGTTATCTTCAAAGGACCATCAATAATAAAATCATGACGATCTTAACCTATTTCTCAAATGCTATGATAGGTTGACTTTCGGCTCAAACCAAAATCTAATATGATAATTCAGTCTAATATAGGTCATGGATCGGATCCAAGTCAACCCTAACTAGATCCAAATCTTAATCCAATCCAAAATTTATCTGGATTTGATACAAGAATGCAGCCCCAATATGAAACCAACAAGTTGACTAAAACTTCGTTTAGAATAACTTTTTTTCTGTTTCTTAAAGCAACTTTTAATATAAAAATTAAAATATTTATACTAAAAATTTATTTTAAAAAGTAATAAAAAAATCGTCTCAAACGAAGCCTAAGTTTTCTCAGAATGAAAAAAAATATCTATAACATTAGAACGAAAATTAAAATATTTACACTAAAAAATCATTTTAAAAAGTAATAAAAAAATCGTCTCAAACGAAGCCTAAGTTTTCTCAGAATGAAAAAAAATATCTATAACATTAGAACGTTGTTAGAAGCAACACGAGAATAAGATTTCATTTGAAACAACTTTCTTACTGCTTTTTAAAACAACTTTTAAATATAAGTATTTTAATTTATATAATAAAAAATTATTTTAAGAAGCAATCAAAAAAATCATTCCAAACAAAACCTAAATCATCCACTGGACTGTTAATGCATCCAACCATCCAAGTATCCAACAATCTGTTCTATCAATTCCATAGCAATAAAAAATTCAATTGGTGCAGGGAATAATAACAGAAAACTAATGAAATTTAAGCAAAAATGACACATCCGATTTCAAATTACATTAAATAAAATACCCAAAGGTAGATACATAAATTAACACAGAATTCGAGGTAATCACAGCCGTTTATATGCTATTCAGTTAGCAAAATTTATTGAACAGTAAGGAAAATATCTAACATCATCACATGGTTATAAATGACAATAAACTACAAAGTTTTCACTCTCTCTCAACATGCAAGTTCAATAACTAAACCGTTATACTCGCACGTGTCAGGAGTTATCACGTGTCATACAATGGACGATGAAATAACTAGTAAAAACTAAAGAGAGAGAGAGAGAGAGATTGAATACAACAAAGAGAAATAGCTCAGATAAATTATTCAGAAAAGACAAACCTAATAGATTTCAACTAAAACGCAGTTACTCAGACAGTTGCTAAAGCCTTATTTGAGGTTGAGAAATATATTTGAAGTTCATAGTGAGGAATTCATACCATAGGAGGGATCAAATCTTCTGCTCGCAATTGTAATTGTTAATAAATAAGGTTCTATTCTTCACTTCTTCCTCACGCAAATCATCCTTATTGGGCTGAGTCTCATGAGCTGACACTTTCAAATCAATTTGAATTTCTTTTACAGCTGAGTTTTCGTCGCCGGCCTCGGGCACATCTTCGCTCGCATCTTGCAAGCCCAGTTTTTCTTGGTCGTCTCTAACAACTGAATTTTCCTCCTCGGTCGCCTCCGGCACGGATAAAACAGGCTCATCTTTACTCGCCTTTTCGACTCCGATTTTTTCTTGGTTTTCTGTTACAACTGGATTTTCATCCTTTGTTGCCTCTGGAAGGGATAACACAGGCAGATCTTTGCTAGCCTCTTCCACTACCAGTTTTTTAGGTTCATTTTTTTCCACCCCTTTTTGGATTTCAGCTGAATCTTGATCTGCTTCTTCTTCTGCTTTAACTTCCTCATTTTCTATAGCCTTACCACCTTCTGCAACCAGCTCCTTTTCTTTTACTGAAACATCTTCACTGTCTTTCATCACTGCATCTACTATGCTCTCTACTGTCTGTGTGTCTGGATTCTCACTTTCGGGCGCCGCTGCCTCATCAACTTCTTCCTCCGTATCTTCGCTATTCATTCTTCTTTTTCTTTGCTTCTTTGGCTGATCGTCCTCGAGAGATTCTGATGCCTTTACCTTTTCCCTAATTCTAACAGATCGCCGAGGGGTATCCCCTGTTTCATAAGCCAATGAAGAACTAAGATCACGTGACAAATGAAAGCTAATAATCTAGAGATAGAAAGAGGAAGGGAGCAGGGGAGGGGAGGCTACCATATCCCCAATCAAATTCTGCAGGAGAAGGGCCTCCAGGATGAGACCTAAGAAAACGGTCCAAATGCTTCCTGTTTTTGATCTCCTCTCCGGTGGGAGAAATAAAACTTACCCCGTTCCTTTTGGGAGCCCCATCCTTTGGAATGAACTGCAAATATAATGGCAATAGAGCTTTTAAACGAAAATCACCAATCTGTAATAATTAAAGCAACTATCCCAATTCAGAAAGAGAAATCTAATAAGTTTCAATCTAATCACCAACATAAGCAAAAGTGAAATATAAGGAGAAAGAGAAATAGTGGGCAAGGACTTAAGGCCATGGAGGGGAAGATTTTCTCCAACGAACAGGAATAGAATCCCCAACAAAAACGGGAAATGGTATCACCACATAATCTCTCTTGGAGATACAGTATATGAAAATTGAAGAAAATTAAAAATATAAAAGAAAACACAATTTGATCCCCAAATTCAAACTCTGAATCTTTAATGCATTCCCAAAGTATAAAAGAACCTATGATTAGCAAAGCAAAAGTTTAGTGTGCTTGGTTCATTGGCTTCTCCATGAATCTCTTAAATGAAAAATAATCAAAGCAGTTCGCACATTATACATCTTACAAAAATAACACCTAATTATCATCAATATGTGCCATTAGACCTTCGGATCATGTACAAATATTACACAGAGTTGCAGTATAAACACGGAGCAAAAGGTCTGCTCATCAAACACCTAAGAAACAAAAACAAGTTTGCCACACAAACAAATCAAGAAGATATTAGAGAACAATGGTTGGGCTCTGGTTGAGTACTCTCAACTAAATCATACAATATTTAAATTAGTTAGACATTAAATTAGTTAGATGAATGTGAAACCGTTTGTAGCTTGTATCCTTAATTGATAACCCAAAAACAAATGAAAAAGCACCTCATGAAGTTCAATCTTAATGCTGCACTAGAAACTTATGCTCTTTATGTTAAGAATGTGGCCTGATATTTCATGATCAACCACCTTATCACCTCTCTACTAAAAAATTCCATTACGCCAACAATAGAGCGTGAACTTGAAGACAACACAATACTCCAATGTGCTTTTTTATATCCTTCACCCAATCTTTACCCAATCTTTGCCCGATAGGCGATAACCAATTAAAACCGTGAAAGCTCAAAGAAAAAGCATGTCTTCAAAGGGGATGTAAGACCTTATAAACATTTTCATAAACCATGGAAGAACCCACTTAGTAAAATAGTCTTCTAAGTGATTGTGATGCGGACATCCGACAGTGGACGTTAATCAAAGGAAGAGACGAAGATCGACAGTCGAGATCCCTCCATTTTATCTTAGTTTATTAATTGTAATTTTTATTTAATTATGCATTTTCCGTTTTTACCCTTACTTAAGGGACTTTTCTTATGTAAGCCCAAGGGGAAATTTTGTCTTTTAGTTTTTTTTAAGGCCTATATATAGAGGCCCTTGCTCTTGTATTAGATCAATGATGAATTATTAAGAAAAGAAATTTTGGTTTGCACTTGTATTCTTTGGGAAGAACCTTGGATGAGATTCCACCAGCAGCAGGATGTGTCCGGGCTCGTGGCTTGAAGTCCCTTGGAGAAGGGCAACGTAGTACCCGTCAGCTGCAGGATGTGTCCGGGCTCGCGGTTGTATATTTCTTTCCCTAAATCCTTTTCTCCTCATTCCTTGACCGCTGGCCAAAATCCCCCACTTTCCACCGGCCGATTCTCCCATAAACATCTCCTCTTCCACAAAACTGCCGGCCACCTCCTTCCCTAGCCCCACCTCCCTAAAAAAAAAAGAAAAAAAAGGCCTCCTTTCGTTATTTAAGTTGTCTTTAATTTGGAAAGATTTTAAATTCAAATGAATCTAATTTGAATTTCAAATCCATCCTCATTAATTATCTTATTTTTGGTAACCTTTTTCATTCAATTAATTAATCAATTTCGAAATTGATTGATTAATTAATCTCTTAGTTCCAATTTCATTTCACCATCATTACTTTCCTAAATTAGCTCCTAACTTATTTGGAAAGTTTTCGAATTCAAATTCATTTTTGAATTTTAAATTCTTTGCTAAATAACATACATCTATTTTATGAAATCTTTCAATCATATTAAATCTGAAATTATTTTAAATTTAACTCTCCAATCTCCCATTAATGCATGGATCCACATACATTGTATGTGGACACCTTTCCTTTCCCTTCTCATTAGGCTGGCCCCTCTCTCTCCCCTCTATTCTAATTGTTTTCTTTTTAATTAAAGGCCCCAATTAAATAGATAATTAACTACTCTCTTCCCTCCCTCTTTTTCGTATTTGAATTTCAAATTCAAATCCATTCAAATTCAAATCCATTAATTAACGAAAATATGAGATGGAATTTTAGCTCTTTAATTTTTTTTTAATTACCCCCCTCCCGTTCTACATCAGATTGGGGTTTCTCCATGCTTAGCCTCTCGCACGAACCATTCAATTAAAGTGAACTATCCAATTGCCAGTAAATCAGGACCAGTATGTCCAGCTTCTTCAGCTAACCCCATGAAGTATCCAACAACGAGGCTGAATGAGAGACAAAATTTTAAAAAACAAGGAGTTATTGAACATCAATATTGATGAAGAATATTTCTCTTTTAGTCAATTCTCTGCATCTTAGATGAAATATTGGAAAGAAATAATTCCAACAGAAGTGTAAAAAATGACATGATTAACGAGTTCATGAAGTTGTCTCTCTCTCAAAAAAAGAAGAGCTTCAAAACCTATTAGATTGGGCATTTCTACCATGGACTCAAATTGAGATGGATGAATCCTTATTTTGGATCGCTAGGGCGCTAAAGCTTGTCAACTATAGCAGCAATGAAGTCCCAGTTATACCATTAAGCTTCTTGAACAAGGTGCCACCATGGCTGACCATTATTTGGTATGTTGAGCGACAAATGATTGCCCATAATGTACTGACATTTGGTAATAATGAAACATGTCATGCCAATCACATGCATGACAAGTGCACTTGTTCGACACTTAATCTAAATATTCAATTAAAAAAATAAAAAAGTTAAAAGACGTGTATGTCTGCATACATGTCCTATATAAATAACTTAAATTAAGCCATATAGTTTATTTAATTTTAACATATATTACTTAAATAAGCTAAGAACTAATTAGCAATTATTTTATTTTATATATTTCACTTTATTTTTCTATAATTTTTCTAATTTTATTTTTATATAAAGAACTAATTTTCTCAACTTTAAGCCAAAAATCTATAATATCATATGACTATTGCTCTTTTAATTGAGTTTAGGTATTTAATAAACTTAAATATACTTTTTATTTTAATGAACAATAAAATGAATTTATTATTATTATATGAATTTAGTTCATATTATTTAATTAGTGTAATTATGATGTAATAAAAAATTTGGGAAGGGCCCCAATTTTTTTATTACAAAAACAAAACCTTACTAATCTTTAAAAACATATATGGGATAAGAAAATACAACAAAGAAGAGACAACTTAGAAACTTTAAAACAAACTCTTACATTTCAAAACATATAAAAAGAACACATACAAACATAAAGAAACACTTACAACCTTCAAGACCAAACTTAAAACAACCTAAAGATGCTTTTCTTTCATTTAGAAGAAGGATACAAGTGGAAGGAATACTTGTGGGTAGAAGAAGGGATTAGAAGCCAAGACGAAGGATAGGAGTAACTCCTAAGTTATCCCACGATAGAGAAGAAGAAGAAGTGGACAAAGCTCTCAAGCCTTTCCAAAAAAAACTTCTCAGGTTTTTATCCAAAAACTATCATCATAAGTAATTCTTTTTAAGCCTCGAAACATCTATATATAGGCAAGAGAGGGCAGCCAAACAGCCCTTAAAACATTAATTAAAAACTTATTAGATTTAGGGAAATAAAAGGCCAACAATCATAACATATCAGCCCTCCAAATGGTACAGCAAAACAGAGGAGAAAAGCCACAGGAACCAAGCAGCAATCCACGGAACCAAGCAACAATCCACGACACTAAAAAACCAACCAGCCGTGGGAACCAAAGGGCCAAGGCACGGGAAAATAGCCAGCCAGTCGTGGGAAACAAAGAGCCAAGCAAGGGAAAACCAGCAGCCATCCACGGGAACCAAAGGGCCAAAATCCACCATAATGAGCTTCCACTAAACTTACATAAATGAGCTAAACTTTTTACTTCAATAAATGAACTAAAAAATAGCTCATAATAAGCTAAATTTCAACTCAAAGAATTAATGAGCTAGCAAGTCCAAGAGTAGTCAAAACAAAAATTTAGGATTTGATTTGACCCCCCTTTGCCCACATCAAATTACTATAATTTTTTTTTTTTTAATTTCAAAGATATAGTATTATGATATTGTGTCCATTACGTGTCTGAGTCTTATTGTGTCTGTATCCATATCAGTACATCGTAACTGATTGTCGTTAGAAACCTAGATGTCTCCTGTGTTTGAGTTTTAGATGCTTTATTGAGTCAAACAAAAAATTGATCCTTTAAAAATTGTGTTGCATTGGCTTGGAAGTATATGTTTGCATATTTAGGAGGAGAACTTAATGGTACTTAATGATAAGCTTCAAACACCACCAAAATCTTTGCGTTACATGTGTATTTAAAGTAGCAATTATAAAATTTGATGTCTTTCGATGAGTGCGAATTGCTGTTTCATACAAACATAAAGAAACACTTACGACCTTCAAGACCAAACTTAAAACAACCTAAAGATGCTTTTCTTTCATTTAGAAGAAGGATACAAGTGGAATGAATACTTGTGGGTAGAAGAAGGGATTAGAAGCCAAGACGAAGGATAGGAGTAACTCGTAAGTTATCCCACGATAGAGAAGAAGAAGAATTGGACAAAGCTCTCAAGCCTTTCCAAAAAAACTTCTCAAGTTTTTATCCAAAAATTATCATCATAAGTAATTCTTTTTAAGCCTCAAAACATCTTCTATATATAGGCAAGAGAGGGCAGCCTAACAGCCCTTAAAACATTAATTAAAAACTTATTAGATTTAGGGAAATAAAAGGCCAACAGTCATAACATATCATCCCTCCAAACAGTACAGCAAAACAGAGGAGAAAAGCCACAGGAACCAAGCAGCAATCCACG